TATAAAGTAGTTCAAGGTCCAAAGAAGTGCGATAATCACGATTAGTGGGTCAATCTTGAAACTGAAGCTAGTGTAGTATGACCAATATGAACAGGAGTTGTAACGTTATATAGCATCAATTTTGAAAACAGGAAAACGGAGTGCCAATAAAGGCAGCCTCGGTTATAACGACGGTTTTTACCTGGTCCCTTCGATGACGTTATAATCGAGTTCGACTGTATATGGCTTTGGTAAATGTGGTGAATCACTCTAGATGATCAGTCACGAAACAAAATAAGAGGTATACTTAAAAAAAAAAACAAAATGGTACTAATTATGTCATTAACGCAAGCAGAGTATATGGCGAACCACATTGAGGAGGCCATTAATGATCTCATCGTTGAGGGTCTCATTGATGACGACGCCCAGCTGTATTTCGTTGATATCCACGTCGTCCGTGAAACCTACGAGACAACGTTGCACGCTTTTGGCGAACAATGCCATCACTCTGAAAAACGAAAGCATATCGATGTTGATTTTCTCACATTTGGAATATGATAAACGGAAGAATCTTATTCCATACTGATGGAAAATCGCATTGTTGCTTTTTGTCTTGCTCTCGAGAGCTCCCAAGATTTGCAGCTGTTCGAAGAGATCGGATTCCTTTTGCATCATGTGGGATCGGATTCCCGGTAGCTTCTCCCTAATGTGCTCCTCCAATTGACGCTTCAGCAACTTTTGGAGGGCCGTCGTCCCAACTTGTTCCATCATGTTCCTGTCATTCCCATCTTTCTCTTTCATTCTCTTCATCGTTTTCATTTAAAACAGGAACATGATAGCAAAGATATATAGATGGAAGGTCATCCCGGTTCATTAGGAGGTCAATACGGATATAGCCGACGTTCAGTGTGCCCTTCGAAGATCATTCGCGCCGTAATAATGATGTAACTAGCGCGTGTCCGCCATCAGTCCGAGAATGGGATGATCATTGTAAAATATCAGCAACGTTCATATCGCTTGTTCAGATAACGTCAACAACTCCATGTTTAAACATCATTGAGACTATGTTGAAAGAAGATGTTGAAAAGTAATTGCCCTTAAAGCCTCCAAACTACTTCACTGAGCTATCCGGTATCTCTATGCGATGAAAAGATGGTAATTCAGGAAAAGACGCCATTTCATTGTAGTAGATCTTTGACTTGTCGACTTCAACCATGTCTTATCATTTTAACCTACTGTCAATGTTAATACAATTTTTTTTTGCGAACTGGGGGGAGGGGGGCATTATTCTGCGGTAGGTTTGAAATTTAATATGAGCAGACCTCCAGCACTTAAAAAATGACAACGGAATGACTTTAATTTTTCTTTTTAAACTGAAAAGTAGGCAGTTCAGAACAATTGAAGAAAAAAAAAGATGCCTTTCCAAGCAATAAAATTGACATGGCACAAACATGAGCAAGCACGGGATCAGACTAGTACTAGTACCTACGGGTGCTTTCAATAAACGGCAACACTCGTTCACTTTCACAAGGCTGTGTCGACACATATCTTCGTTGAGAGATTATCCATTTATACTTTCAGATTTGCTGCTAAATATTGGTTATAACTTCAATTTGACTTTCAGGAGTTTAATGTGCTTGCAAAAATAAAAAGGAAGATGACAGGCTACATTTCCATTAAACTGAGACTTTTCCCCCCGAAAATTGCTGAGAACACAAAGTCGTTGATCTTTGTTCCTTACCCTCAAATCTTCAAATATGGGCTAGTAGCATCTAAACTAGTGCTGAAAGAATCAAACCCGGACCAGGACACCGAGGATATCCTCGTCTTCGACCAGATAATAATTATTTGCAAGAGCATCGCGCCTACGAAGACAAGAAAATGGCAGTAGACAGACTTGTAAGCGGCGTGGTTCACGAAAAATTTTTCTTCCGAGTCCCTGGCGGTATACATGTCTGTCCCGCTTGTGATTTCTGCCTGCGATCTGTTCACAGTTCCGATGTATCCTCGCTTCAAAGGGAAGACTTTATTTTCCAAAACTTCTCGTGCATCTGTGCCTCGATCCATGAGGTCCAGCTTCGTCAGCACTCCGATAGTCCGTTCTCCTGCAATTAAAAAAAAATAATAATAATAATAATAAATATATATATATATATATATCCTGGACTTGCCATGCACTTTGTATACGTTGTTAATGGTAGATTTTGCTCCACAACTCATTGAGGGCTCACGATTACGATTCTAAATGGCTTACCGTTTCAGCAGCAATAGACATTTTTATTTGGGAAAAAAGTGGATCATCATTTGGGTATACTCGGACAATAAATTCTTTCCATTTTGCAAAATGCAGGAACATCGGGTGTCCAACGTCGCATCTCGTCGTACCTCTATCGACGGCAGCTTCGCGGTGGCCCTCGCAGGCATTCGAGGACGGACTCGAGAGGCAATCCGCGGCGGCGATTCTCTATTTAACCCATTCTTGGGGCGTGGGAATCATAATTCCCGCCTGAATGCCATACGATTGGGACCGATAAAATATGGAACCTGTTCCTCGTGCTATTGTGTAATTTATTTAATTGAAGAATACCACAGGAAGAAGCCATTTTCCTAGGTAAAAGTGGCTCACGAAATGGTTAATTTGCATAAAAAGTGAGGGAAATGCATAACTTCTCCGAGTGACATTTAATGCAGGTTAAGCAACGATTTTGCAGTAAGAGGATCGTACATAGTAACCATGCAGGATTATGGAAGTATTGGGATTGCAAAAATGTTCACCCGTACCATTAGGATCAACTTGACGAGCGAGTTTGAGTGCGTCGGAATTGGCCAGGTCCTCTGTCGCAGGGGTCACGGCAAGGATCAATGTGTTTTCGGGCTCGATGTACTCCAAGATCAAGTCGCGGATCTGGCAGAAGGAACGAGCAATTAATCAAGTTCGATCCAACCCTGTCTTTCGATCCGACCGTAAGTGAATTGTAAGTCTTGATGGGTTTGGCCCATGTCAATGCCAAAGCAATCCGACTTCGGGCATTCATCTTCTTTCAGGACAGACTTACTCTACGGAAGTATGGTGTCTCCTTTCGTGACGATAGTTGGCGCCCCGTTTGACATCAAATTTGTTGCACCAGCATTGGTCACGTTTCATTAGCCCTCAACTGGTATTTTTATTCCTGATGCTCTTCAAGCTCTGGGATCTTTATGATCTGGGTAAATGGAACCCCGATATGAGGGACCGCACATGATGACCGAGAACTAATAGCTCTGTTTGGAAGGTCAGAAGGCAGTGGCTGAATGTAGAATGTATCCAGGAACAAACGCATCAAAAACGTTTTTTTTTTTTTAGTTACCATAACAGCAGGTTTACCAAAAGGCACGAAATGGCGAACAGGCAACTTTTACTTCTTTGACCGCTCAAAAGTCATGAAAATTTGCAAGCGAAAATTTGGGGGGACTATGGAACTACAGGAGTCCATGTACTTGATACGTTTGCACGTCAGCAATATATTAGCATTCGACACAGCCGGGATCATAGGATCCCAGATTTCAGAAGAAGGCGAATATACTTGAAGCGATAGCACCTGAAATAGGAATAATATGAAAATGAGATGATACTCACAAGTTGTTCGATGTTTTCAGGCTGGTTCCCGACAGGGACCTTGGTCATACCAGGCAAATCGACCAGAGTGAGCTGAAGAACTGTTAACGAAAGTCATATGCGAGAAGCAGATCCAAGTCTAGGATCACTCAGTGGATGACGGAATCGACTTTACCATGAGGGGAATAGAGCCTGAGGTTGATGGGTTTGGAGGAGATGGCCTTGTCTGCTGCTTCCCTGTCTGTCGCCGCAACAATCTCTTTCCTCACTTCCGCGAAATCGGTGAACCTCTCATCCGGCAGGTGCGAAAACTCCAAGTACTCTGTGGAAAACACAAAGTAGTCAAGTTGTAAGGAAACCGTATATTTTTCTTTAAAATTTATTCAATGCTGATAATAATGGCTTGTTCTGCGCCGGTAATATTTACCTCTTCATGCCACAGAACCAAAACTGAGGTGGACGCAATAAAGTGAGCTTCCCTTTCTCAAGAAAGATTTTTAAAGGGTCAAAAGTTTTTAACTACTTGAGTGAAGGGAAACTCACACAAAAACAAAATTTTGACAAAATAATTAATGAGGAGTGGAATGATGGACGAGTACAATCAGATGTAACATTGAAGCGCATCTTAAGAGCTAATGCTATAATAGAGAAGTCAGTATAATAAGACATGGGCGCATGATAAGACTGTTTCCCTGGGCACACTATATGGCACCACCCCATATCAACATCAATTGGCCACATGCATTGACTTGCATCTTGGCATTTTGAAATTGTGAAGGCCTTTACGCATGACATCAGCGTCTCCACAGTAGTTCCTTCATGATAAAATCTGGTTATAAAAAGTGAACGCGTGGAATGAGAGTAATTATTGCTGACATGTTCCCTATTGGCGAATTTGTTTCTAGTCCAGAAGTCGCTGTAGATTTCCAATAATGAAGTGACTGGTAGGAGTTCGCGCAGGTAGAGAGGAACCACGAGAAACCTAATACCTTCGCTGCTTGGTATCATTTGAAGGATGAGCGGACATCTCGTAACAACGCCGATACCCCGAGGCAGAAAGTCCCTGCAGGATATACGATGACACACGCAAATTATGAGGTCGATTGATAGGGCAGCTGAATGGCCGCAAGCGAAGAGGCAATGTATTGCACACGTACCTGCCAGCGACGGCCTCGAGTACGGAAGACTTGCCAGCGCTCTGTCCGCCGATGACGGCGATCATGGGAAGCTGAAGATTGAGACTGGAAGAGGTGGTGGCAAAGGCATCTTGGAGCCTATTGATCATCATCACCAGATCCTCCATCTCTTGGTTCCCCGTCATCCTGATGGATGTTCTCTCCCTCTTTCCTACTCTTTTCGAACGTTTTTCCTCCCCTTTTCTTCCTGGACTCCTGTCTTTGCAAACCACCTGTTGAAGACCAATGTCCCGTAAAGTCAGGCCAGAGAATCGTGTTCCCACACGAGTCTGACTCAGTATTGCACCAAAATGTTTTGAATAGGGCTTCTTCCAAAATCTAAGGACTGAAGACTATAGTGGGCGACCCCTTGGATGGGGCCTTCTCCTTCGAAAACCCCCCAGGAGTGGCTAACCTGGCTGGGAAAAGAAACTGTTCCCCACAACCCCGGAATATTTGAATTTTTAATTAAGCTGGAGCGATTCTGCTTTAGGAGGGTAAGAAATTTACTAAATTTTGTTGCTCTTGGTTCTTTCAGCGAGGAGTGTGAGGAAGTTCCGAAACGGGAAGGGGTTGAAGAAAGGTAATATGTCGCTACCGCGCCCGTTTATCAGTTTTAGTCAGACACCATGGGGCCTGTTAAATTCTCTAATGAAAAATATGGCTTATAGTGCTGTGAAGCCTTCCATTATGATCGCATAAACAAGAATACTAGGAAGGGAAGTAGGGGAAAGTCCCACTGAAGTAAATGTAGAATAGTCCCTATGAAGAGTGCATCCATCCGATTATCGTTCGGTTTTCGGATATTTGCGGCGCCCGCCTAAAGCCCGCCGCACACAATTCAATTTTCGTTGCTCCACCGTCGTGCGACCGGTGCAAATTGGTTGACCTGCCCCGCACACGGAGCAATCTGCAAGCAATGGGATGGGCAATGCGGACCTAAATTTAAGGAAGTTTCTATATTAAGATTTTTGGTGGTAATGTGATTGGTCGATGCTAGAATTTGGCCGGGTATACACCGCAGCGACATCGCCGGACCCCCGCACACGGAGCAACGGTCGAGCGACGGCAATATTTATCGCCAAAAAATTGAGCAGAGAGCAATATGCTGGCGACTGGCGATGGTCGCGCGATCATCCGCAGCACCCTCGCACACGGACTTAAATATACTGTATTTGGAGAGGCGGTCGCGTGACGGTATAACAAAAATTTCCTCGTGTGCCGCGGGTTAATGAGTTGGTGATGAGGGTGAGAATTGGGAAGCGTCGATCAAATCGTCTACCCCGAACCCAAGGACGACTTCGCCCTTTTCTTTGGGGGGGGGGAAGAAGGTAAGATGCCGCCTGTCTGCCCCATATGAGGAAAGGTCTTTTTAGAATTTTCGGAAGTAAAGGGTTGAAAGGAGAGTTTGCTCCGCCTCTGGTTTCCTTCTTCATTTCCACTCTCCCTTCATCCAGTTTTCCCTTCTGTCCCAGAACCGCCTCACACGCTAACGTCTTCCTTTGCTCATCTCTCTCGACTCGCGATTGAAAAGAATGCACTACTACATCAGCCAAGACTACTTTTAAATGCAGGAAGTCCACCTTGCCCGTCGTCTCCGATTGCATTTCCTGCCTCGTGGATCCTGCACGTGCTCTCGCCCACCGCATCGAAGTCAGAAATGAAGGAATTCCGAGGGACGGTCGCCCCGGGCCCGACGCGACGGGGATCCACATTTCCCCGAGCGGCTTGGTGCCGCGATCGAGTGGCCGTGGGAACGAAGCCACTCGCTCTTATTGGGATTTCGAAGGAAACTTTTAGATGGCTATGGGGAGGGGGCGGAGAAAGGGGGGAAATCATTAATCGTATCTACACTAATAGGTTTAAGTGAAAGAGGAAAGAAAGGACAAAGCCTGACTTCATGGCATCAGGTATACATGATTCTGAAAATCTTGATAAGTTGCCTGACGAGAGCCATAAACATGTAAGTCCGCTACTTCCGCCTTCGAGCCCCTTTCCGACGTTTTGACAGGCTGTTGATATTACAAAATAAATGAGCTACCATAAAACAAGCGATGCCAACGTAGCAAAGTTGGACCAGATAGACTGTACTTCCATGTACTTTCGTGCCTCCTTGAATGAATCAGTAGCGTTTCCGCATTTCTTTTTGCAGCGAAAACTAGAGAGCACCATAGGAAATTCAGTTTGCATTGTAATTGGCTGCGATATGGAGGAAATGTTTCCGCTGCTCAGAAGTTGCCTTACATTAAAATACCTTTGCTTCTATGCGTTCTGCATTTTCCTCGACAGAGTTTTTATTCTCTATTTCAAAATGTAATGTCTCTAATTTAATTTAAAGTAAATAAGTTTTTTCTTCTCCAGTCCAAACATAAATACAGGGAGACGCTGTCGAGCCCCCATAAGACTCCACGGGCAAAGATAAATCTATGCAGCAGCACACAGAATATTCAGGGAGCCAAATCGACGCATTTTGGGCGAGAAAAATTCAGTCACAAACATACTTTTTTCACTTTTTTTTCACACTCCCTTGGGAGTGTGAAAAAATGGTTCGGGTGGCTCTGTTCGAAGGCCATGGAGAATAAGCAAATATTTTTCTTTAAACGCTCAAAGAGAAAATGCGAAGGCGGACAGCTTAAAACGGGACGTGATTAAGATCGAGAAGCACCTGTTGATTCGAGGCGATAGGCTACGAACACTCTCACGTCAGATGAACCTGTTGAGGGAATACCATACGTTTTTAAGCTTGGAAGCCCAGTCTACCGTCGATACGTGTCGCACCGCCGATGTACGAAACCAAATACGAACGCACTAGAAACCGAACTGGAAAAACGCCAGAAGCGATCGCACTGAATTCCCTTCGAGCTACTCGCACCAGCCGGAGGGAAGGCGATGGAGCGAAGAGGCCGTGCTCGAGTGCGAATCTCTAAACAGGCGATGCGTGAGGGTGGAGGGGGCAATATGAAATGGAAGACGGAGGTTGACATAAGGTTGACGTGCGTCTCGGCGGTGCGAGGCCGCTCAGACTTCCCGTCTCGACTCGGCTATGGAGGCATTTCTGGTTTGCAGACGCCTTTCGGGCGACCCGGCACGGGAGGGAAGAGTCTCATATCGATCACAATTCTGCGTTGGTGGCGTTTTCCTCGTGGAAAAAAAAAAATCACAAAGCGAAAATGGATCTAAGTGTATCGATTTACCGATTTCTCGGGGTGAGATGAGAGACAATCGGAGAGGTTTTTCGGCCGACGCCAGGATCGGGATTTTGAAAAGCAGCTCGTACGCATTTCTGCTTGAGATTGTGAATTGACCCTACTGATTTTTTTTTTGTCACCATTTGGCTACGATATCTCGTCGATGTCATCCCCAATGCGGGTTTAATCTTTCCGCGCCTTCGAGCATCGTCCTACACTTTGTCCTAAAATTCAGCCAGCACCAGCCGCGTGCGATCTGCATTAATGATGATGCACGAGTCCACGAGAAGAGGGAAGAAAATCCAATCGGAAAAAAACACTTCTAATTCAGTAGAAAATAAAATCGGTTCCTTCCTCTCGGAGCGAGTTTGACGACCGACAGCTTCTGTTAAAAAATGGATGCAAAATCTATTGGGTGAAAACGGCTTTATTTTTGTATTTCCATCAATCAATATTGAATTCATCCCAAACCGAGCATGAAATACGCACGGAGAGTTTTATTCAAAGGATTGAAGATGCTCAAGAGGGATGTAAAAAATCCATAATTGTGTGACATCATCTGCCATATTTTGTGACCTAATGAGAATCGTTCACGGATTCTTTGCTGAAGTCCTTAGAATTCCCTGACCTTAAGCTTTGCAGCCCTCCTCTTTTACCTAGCCGCAAAAAAAAAAAATAAAATAAAATAAATGAGGCGGGGTCTAGGCAGTCGCTCGCCTGTCTGCGGTAACAAACCGCCGAACTTAAAAGAGGTTCTCATCAAACAGTTTGGGCATGGGGGAAGTTTCGCCTGTAACTACAATTTCTGCTCGTTGAAATTTGCAAGCAATGGCATCAAGCTGAATATGGGCAGAAAAAATAGCGACGTTAATGTCCTTCTGCATGTGCCAGTTGCAGCTGTCTCGTGACGGAAAGAGTGCTTCGTCGGTTCCGTTGCGATTCCGCATTGTCTTTTGGGTTGAAATGAGCTGTGAAACGCCTCGTCAGCGAAGGGTTTGGATCGTTTTTAATGAATGTCATCTCGTTTGGACGTGCGACATCGTCGAGAACGATCGCGTGGGTGTGAGACTCGGTCGATGGAACCTACGAGCAGTTTAGTGTCGGTTTCCTTTTCGTCGCTGTCGTGGTTCTGTTCGTCCTTTTCTTCGGTTCCTTTTCGTCGCTCGTTGTCTTCGGGGACGTGCGTCTCCGTCGATGCGCGGATCCTGTCTCCATGCCGAGGGAGAAACGTGAGGTCGAGGATTTACGTGGAGGAGATGGTCCCTGGTTCCCTGGTTCCCTGGTTCCCTGGCTCCGGCCCCAGAAGGGGGTCGAGTGCTTTTGCTGGAGACTTACGATCGCGAGGGCTGAATCCAAAGCCGGGCTGTGCCGTGGAATCTGCAGCTCGAGCGTATCCGGACCGGAAGGTCGACCTATCGTCCAAGTCGAAATGCTCGGACTCGAGTCCTTGGACGCGGGCCCTTCGAGCTTCATGTTCCAACGTTCGATTCTTTCACTTGGATACCGAAGCCTTTTATAAGGATACGCCTCTGGAAGGATGGTAACGGGATGGAAAGGGGAGGACGAGTCCGTGGTCTTTCGTGCACCTTTCCGATGTCACTCGCATTCTCTTGATTTTCCTTTATGGCGGTATCACCTACGACTTGGGATGCCGTCGTATCGAAGCCAATGGATTACTCGAGTTGCTTAGGGAATGATATCGGAGACTTTGAAAAGATGACATCCTCACCTTTGGGATCGTCCACAGGAATTCATCCCTGACGATCGACAGGATATCGACGCTCGTAACAGACCCATCACGTACCGGCGGGTCGTCGATAAGTGGTGCAAGATGGAAGACGAGTCCGTCGGCGTGAATTCCTACGGTGCGGCCGACTGCAGCGACTTGACGATAAAGTGCATGGAGAATATCGCGATGCTGTGGAATAACGTGTCCCTGTCGAACGACTCGAATCCAAGAGCCTGCGGGATATGGCCCTGAACGAGATGAGGACCATTGGATCTCTTCGTCCTCCACGTCTGGAATCTATCGACAAGGGGCAGAGAGCTTCTTCATCCGCTGCTCTTCAGATATTTTTGTTGTCGTCTCGCCTGAGGGGTATTCCGCGTGTAATCGTGATCTGATTGAAATGGATAGAATAGAGAATTTGCATTGCTATTTATTCAGGTCAGTACGGAGACTCGATAGGCGGAGAAGAAAAAGTTTAAATTCCAGTGCAGGAATCGACGCTTCTGTGGGCGGTGCCCCCAAAGTGGATCGGTAGAAGACAATAGAGAGAATTGCAGAATTCAACTCCGTTTTCGCACTCATCAGCCATCAGCGAATGAAAATGTGACATTGGACCGAATTCCTTTTCTTCTTTTACCGTTTCAGACTAGGTACAAGCTCGAAAAGAAATGTCAGAGCGACTTAGGGACTACCTCGAGCTGAAAGTCGAATTACTCCCGGAGGTTCAGCATTCAGATTTCCAGAGAAAAAGCAGCTACAGCCTCGCCATGTGAATGCAGCTCCTATCTCCGGTGGTCCATTGTAATGGAAATCTAAATGCTGAACCTCGAGAAGTAGGGCCAAAAATAGCCTTGGATTACCAGCATTTCTTTCAAGGGAATCCCTGTTGGGCGTGCAGCCGATGAACCCGAAATTAGACCGCTTGAGCTGGAATGCCTCTTCTGTGAATAGATTGCTGCAATCTTTCTGCAGTGAAGTCCATAAGCATAGTTTATATTCGATATTTCTCCCGATATGAGTGGATGAGCGAGATAATTCACTCGGGGCAATGTTGGATTCTCTCTCGTTGAAAGGCGCCGCTTGAGGCCAAGATTGACTACTGAGAAAACGGAATTTTTTTTATTCGATGGCTGCCTATAATCATGAGGTGACCTTGAGGTCTTGGTGCAGCTTTGTTGCGAATAATTTTTTTTTTACGGGTGGCTTGGGGTACGGCATGCAGGATATGATTTTATTTTACTCATTTCAGCACGGGCTTATACACGTGGTATAGAAGCTTTCAGATCAACACTGACTTCTCCCAAAAGCACTTCGAAATGCTCTTAAACTTCGTAATAAAGAAAAACAACCTTACCCTCTTAGAAGGTACTATTTTGCCAGTATGCGGGATAGGCGCGACATAGGCCTATATTTTAAAATGTTCATGACATCTAGACGCGTTTTCGATGGTCCGCGTCGCGTGGAGATGGGAGGAGAGTGTGAAGTGTAAGTTGTCAGATGCGGCATTTCACGCGTACGCCGAGCAACCTTGTCTCTGCGGCTGCGAGCAGCCGCTCTCTCCCATTGTCTACTAAGGATGCGTCATGCGAGGGCTGGAAGGAATGGATTTTTTGCGGAAGACGGGCACCCTGACCCAGGTGGAAAACTGCACATGCGCTGCGCGTCGCATTGTCCGGTTGCTATGGATACCGAGGGGAGACGGAATGGGAAAAAAAGTGAGAGACCGATCGCAGTATCCGCCAATTCCCCATAGTACCTAAGGGAATGGCTGAAGGCTTTATTGATTTCCTTCTGCCCATCATTTCGTTTAGAACAAAATGATTTTTTGAACTTAGTTTAATCCTCTGACCGTTAATTCAGATTGATTGCTGAAGATAGAATGACCAGTACAGATATGACTTTCGTGCTCTTCTTGACCATGCGTGTTGACAGTATTTTGGGACTCTCCTGAAGCAGTTTTTTGCTGAGCTTCTGGCTTCACGGAGGGTAGGACGAACCTGGAAAGTGGCCAAAGATCAGGGCATCTGTTGACAGTTGCGGCGATACTGGAGAACATTGCTCTCCTCTTGAGACCATTGCTGAGAGGATTTACGTTCCAACATGAATGAGATTATTAACTTAGTGGCTATCTCAATGGGCACGTATTTATATTGTTACAGCGCTTCGAGGGGTAGGGAGAAAATTCGCAGTGTCCTGATTTAATCCTCCGGATTATCATGAAACTCGATGTCCAGATTTGGAAATGCACCTTTCACCCGCGGGGTACTGGGTGTCAGCCTCGGTGGACTTTTTTCGGCAGAGCACTTGTATCGGAGGTTTCGGAACTTGTTGGGTTCGGTGGAAATGAGATCAATGGAAACTCAGGGACAACACAATCAAACATGTATTTTGGATCTCATTCGACTAGTACTGTAACTCAAGGTCATCCTTAAACGTGGCCGGGGACGAAGAACATACGGTAGGGGTCGGAAGAAGGGTCCGCGGTCTTGATAGGGTGGGGAGGGCAGGGTCTCCACGGTCGTTAAGACCTCCTTCGTCTCTCCAAGGACTGTGCCGCGGGGAAGACGACGGGTCAGGATGGTCAACAGCTTAGACGGTTATGGGGCGATATACGCCCGCGGGTTATTGGTTATTCAGGTCTTAATCGCGGCTGCTTCGAGTTACTTGGTCTTCCGGGCGTGAAGTTCGAATTAGGGAGAGTCGATTTCCCATTTATCCTGGCATTATGATTCTGCACCATAATCTCTGAATAGAAAGATAGCACTCGATGAGAGCTCTAAATTGTCGCAGATGCATAGGAGTAGAAACACGTGGATATATTTGTGACTAGAACGTTGCTCATATTGGAAATGCATATTCAAAACCTTTTGCTGAAATTACTACTGGTGAAGAAATCATGTTTTATTTCTTCTTTTAAAAAGAAGGAAAAATAGGAACATTCGTGGTTGAAGGTGATTCACAACCAATCATTCCAAGATTGCAGAAGATGACGGAGAAGGTGTTTCATGCCATTTCATTGTGTTATATCGGAACTAAAATAGGTTTCCAATGTGACTTCTCAGGCCTCCTGTAAAGGTGCAAATCCGCCGCCCCCCCCCCCCTTGTAGGAATCTCAATGACAGGGGGGTGAGAAGCAGGGAGAGCAACGAGATCGAGCAATGCGTTGAAGGAGAGCAGAACAGCTCCTAATATGATTTTTCTGGACTGTCCTGGGGAATCAATTTCTTCGTCTGGCTAGTGCAGGGGTGCACAAGGCGGATGTTCACCGAGGCACTTCGTTTGCTCCTTGCTGCATGCGGGCTGCACATTGGGCACCTCTGGTCCGGTGCCTTCATGGGCATCCCACTTTCCACTCAAAACTTGAGCCATTCTCCTTGGCGCAACTGTTAGAGCGAAGAGGAACCTAATCTTTAATGCGAAACTGAATTTAAATCTCCCCTATTTTGTGTTCGCATGTTGTGTTCGATGAAACAGGAGTCATAGAGACCCAAGGTACTCTTGCAACTTCTCGAATCTGGAAGGGAACTCAAGATCTTCCATTCCGGGCTGGAAATGTGCTTCCGACTTTAATAATGAGACGCGCAACCCATCTGGTAGTCTATAATATATTTGGCCGAACAGGTAAGGCAAAGCCTGGCCGATAATACGGAATAAATGAAGGAGGTCAAGCGGTGGAAGTACCGGGCCAGGATAGACCATTGATGATTTCCAACGCCTCCTCCGTCGCCTTGAACACAGTCATTAGATGTCTCTTCTTCAGCTCTTCGTCTCCTCCTGGCTCCATTAGCTTGTCCTGTTAATTTAACGAAAAATAAGTGAATCACTAAAATTTTAGGGTTTAGCTACTCAATCTCATAATGAACTCACTATATTGCCCCTCTCTTGGATTTCCGCTGCAAGCTCCTCACTTACGTATAGCATCAACTGTGGAAAAACAAGTTATGGAATTGATGTATTGCCGCAACTCCTAGTTAAAAAAAAAAACTTGTGACTCAAAAGCGGACCTTATCGATCAAATTGAAGACGATGTACTTTGGCGTGAGGTCCTGAATGGTCTGCTTCACGATTCGCATGTACTTGAGTATCTCTTCCATAAAGTTTTCGGCGTCTTTCTTCAATGTCTTGTCCGATTCGAATTTCTAGTCAGAAATTAAGGTAAACATTTATAAAGCAGTAAATACTAAATCGGTTTTGTTTGACAGGGGGGAAACTGACCCTTGCGAAGTCGATTTTTTGAGGCTGAATCATGGTCCTGGGACGACGCATCATGACACTGTCGGGTCGATCTTCATCGAAAAACTGCAGAGACGATAGGAAAGAGCTAAACAAGACCTCATCCTCATCGCTTCCATTCAGGGAAAAAATTCGAAGTCTTTTGATGTCCCGTAGAGTTTCGCCGTGGACTCATATGGTCCTCGTGCATTGGGCTTCGTACCCTTCTAAGCGTATGTATTACGTTTCCAGAACGTGAGACTAAGTATGGAAGGGCTACTAGACCGACTTGAGAAGTTTACTGAATAGCGAAGGGGAGTTTTAAAAAATCAGCGTTTGATAAACTGTCTTCAGGAAAAACTCTGGGGGAAAACCGAATTTAGTCAAAGTATTCCTTCATAGGAGAAAATGTGATAAAATCTCGATAGACATGCGAACCTTCCCATGGTCTTTTTTCACTGGTTAGAAACATGAAGTAGTGCTACGATCTATTCAGGCTCTATT